AATGGAAAACTACAACTTCTTTAGTGGCTCGTTAATGTACAGTTATCATTATTTCTTCTGAAGTTGAATTATCCGGGGCTTAAGAAAAAACGTTCAGGGCTAAAGCCCTGGATGCCCAGGCCAGGCGACGCCACTGGCTCCTGTCAAGAAAATGCAAAACATCAAGCCTTTTAACCGTTTGCACAGATAAATGGAATAATAAGAATGACAAACCTTCATACATAAAGACACTGTAACAGATGTACTGATTGTAACTTCTTGTTCCTTGCATTGAAGGTGCGCGGGAGAACGCAGGAAGGTAAGCTAACGAGCTAATGCTAACTGTTAGCATAGCGGCTACAACCAGCTGTTGAGTTGACAGAAGGCTTGTGAGTTAACAGTTTAGACACTGTGTAATATGTTTGACATTGTCGTTAATATTTCTGTAGTGAGAAGGAACAGTTAAGATGAAAATATATTCGTAGTAGTGAGTTTGGGGTTTGTTTTTGTCGGCGTTTTTAGGCAACGTCAGTTTATAGTTCGTGGTGAACTACGGAGGTTGCAGTGGGACATACTAGTTATTGAATGTCTCTTGGTGATATTCAGCGTCGCTGTCTGTGTTGTCAGTGTTTTACATGTGTAAAATCAATTGTAAAAGACAGTTTGCTTTTTAAAAAGCATTTTAAGTATGTAATTAAGGGACTATACGTTATTTATCAGAGTCACCGGTTACATAAATACCAAATAAACTCATTTAAAGTTGAAAAAAAAAAAACTTCTTGTTCCTTTCATTCCTTTCACACATCAGCCACTCTGAAAGAGAAACAAAGGCCAACATCAGCTTGGTACTTCACAACCATCTCTATCTGTATTATAATTGCTTATAAAAAATGTATAATTATCATAATTTTGATCTCATGACATGTTTCAGAAGTCGGCTGGAGAAAATTACACATTAGTTCACAATGGATTTTCATATGTTCTATATAGTGATTGGTCCATTTGTATTTATGTTACTGGTGTTTTATAAAGCTTTGTTTAGAACAGAGAGGGTGCAGGGTGTTTGACCTGCCTGAGATCTGTTTATGAGAATTAATACTGTGCATTTCTTTGTCAGGGTCAGTTAAAGGAACTTCACTGGAAGCATCAAATGAAGAAACAGGCTTACAGGAGAAGACGTTTCACATGTTTCACACGTAGCAGGTCATCAACAACTGAACAGCTTAAGTTATTGTGACTGCTCTCAGTCAGGTGTGTGTGAGTGGTGGTGTGATAAGGCTGTATTCCCACATTTGTTGTTTGTGAATGGTCCTGTTCAAGCCAAACAGGTTTTTAAAGCTGTCCTTCAACAGCGGGATACATTATGTGTACAGAGTCATACTCTGGTGCAGGTGGCATGAAACACAAAGCTGCATGAGCAACATTAACAATGTGGCATGGGGCAGTTCAAGCAAGTTTATAAAATATTATTATGATTGAAAATTTTTGACTTTTTGACTTTTCAATTTAATTTTAAATTTACACAGAAGGGGTGGCACGGTGGTGCAGTGGTTAGCATTGTCGCCTCACAGTAAAAGGGTTCTTGGTTTGAACCTGGGCTTGGGGAGCCCTTCTGTGCAGAGTTAGCATGTTCTCCCTGTGTCAGGGTGGGTTTTCTCCAGGTACTCCGGCTTCCTCCCTCAGTCCAAAGACATGCAGGTTAACTCTAAATTGCCCGTAGGTGTGAATGTGAGCGTGAATGGTTGTCTGTCTCTATGTGTGACCTGTCTAGGGTGTACCCCACCTCTCACCCAATGTCAGCTGGGAGGGGCTCCATGATCCCCAGCTTGCTGGCAAAATGGCCCAACATTCGCAGAAAATTTCGGCAGTGTAAAAGGGGCTTGTGACTCCGGTCTTCTTCAGAAGTGTCATCCGACATGTTGCTGATGTCAACAAGATCAACTTGAGTGCTCTTTCACTGCCACACTCAGATTAACACTTAATTTATTAATTTTCCGTAACCACTCATCCTGGTTAGCGTCGCCGGGGAGACATTGGGAGAGAGGCAGGATATGCCCTGGGCAGGTCACCAGACTATCACAGGGCTGACACATAGAGACAGACAACCATTTACACTCACATTCACACCTACGGCCAATTTAGAGTCACCAGTTAACCGAACTGTGGGAGGAAAATCCACGCTGACACACGGATAGAACATGCAAGCACTGCCACCCCAGGGTTCGCATCCTCCTCCCCAGCTTTGAACCAGGAATCCTCTTGCTGTGAGGCAACAATGCTAACCACTGCACCATCATGTGACTTGCAAGTGCATCCTGATCCTACTGTCTTAAAATTAGACCTGAGCTGAATAGCTTAGTTAAATGCCATTTAATCGTCTACACTATTTAAATCATGTGAAGGAAATACAGCATGGCATCCATTAAATTTCTGTGGTTCAGTGCCATGAGAGCTGATGGAAATTCACACTGTGCTTCAATAGTATGTGTTATAGTACTTAAAAAACCCAGGCCTCCCCATAAATCTTCCCTTAAGCACCTTTAACGTACAGTACAGTAGTTACACTGGATATTTTATATATCTGCTTGTTGTTAAGGCTGCACTGCTACATCAAATGGGAAATAATCTTCATTTTTGCATGTTTACATGTTCATGTAATTTGGCCTGAAATTTCTTCACAAATAATATTTCATGTTAAAGATATGTTTATCTTTTTGACATCAGCCCAAGCAAAAAACATATGACTAGAAATATGACACACCTGTTTCTTTTTTTGATTTACAGCTTTACCGAGTCTTGTGCTAAGCAGCTGAGACCTGGCTGAGCCTAACCCCCTGAGTCATGTGACTCATAGGGGCACCCGGCTAAACCAGCCATCAGAGATGCAGCTGACAGACAAAGGTTGCAGAAAAAAACAAAATACAAATGGTATGTTGAAAGATGTAATGGTTCATTGGACACTGTGAGCCAAAGAATGTGGAAAATCTTGTATTACAAAACCAGTAAAAACCTCTACCTCTTCTGAAGGCATGGGAAAAAGCGCAGTCACCATTCCTTCATTTTTTACCTCTGTCCGACTGATCATCTACTCGAATACACAAATATATTCAATTCATAATGACACATAGAATAGAAAAGCAATAAATCGTGACGTTTGAAAGGCTTTGTTTTTTAATGTTATTATAGCTGGACATGCTAAAGCACCTGCTTTAATTCTTCTCTTTCACTATTTTGAGTTGTTTTGTACAAATTAAACAAATTAATTAAACAAATTATTTTTCCCATGTCACCCAAGTTATCTTTGTTTCTCTCTTTCTTTCTTTCTTTTTCTATTTGTTTTGATAAACCGAAGGATTAAGGGTTCTTTTGAGACCATTCTCCTGTTTCTTAAGCTTAAGGCCCTGACACACCAAGCGGATCCAACCGGAGCACTGAGCCCTGGTTTGTTATTCAGGTTAAAGTGGAAAGAAGCAGCGGGCAGCTGAGTGAAGCTGAGTGAAGTGGAGCCTGCGGAGGAAACACCGGGACCGTCTGGATGTAATAGTCCATGGAGATGCTGCGGTGCTCGGCTGTACAAACAGGAAACCCCTCGGCTGACAGGATGTACCACTCTGTCACTCCGCTCTTTTCACGCAGTCACAGAACGTACGTGTTACTTGGCCGTCGGATGTAGTCCGTGTAGTGTGTTCATATGCAACTGACACAGGGGGACGTGAGGCGATGTAGACAACACAACAGCTGGCTTTCGTCGCCGCTAGTTCTTTGATGTCGGTTTGGTGTGTCTGCACCTTTAGACATAAGGCAAGGCAACTTTATTTGGATAGCGCACTTCATACACCAGAGCAATTCAAAGTGCTTTACAGAGCAATAAAATATAAAACATAATAAAGGATACAGATTTACAATAAAAGAGTAAAGAGAAAATTACTTAAAATTACTTAATGATTTACAATTTAAAATAAACAACCATTAAAAATAGTAAAAGTTCAGACAAGAGGTGCAAAGTCGTCGAAATCCGGCACTTGGGCAGTGACTTGTGGCATCAGAAACCAACGAGAAAAGGTGTTCCTTAATATCATCAGGGGGGAACACAGCGGGACAAGGACAAAAGTTAAGGCGGTGAAAGTCCGAGTGGTGGTGGATGGGTCCAACAAACACTGACCTTTACCCGAGAGAGTGGTGTTCACGTCCTGTAACATTCTAAACCCAAAACCTGTTCTTTTTTCCTAAACCTAACCACGTGTTTTTGTTGTTGAAGGAAAAAAAACTCAGTTTGCGGTGTTGTACCAACGTAGTGCGTTTACTTTGAAAGAGACTGTATGTAAACAGTAAATTTCCTTTGAAAATGCAAGTGTATCTTGAAAGAAGAGAACTTGACACTGTGTCCCAGAATGTCAACAACCAACATACCCCGGGGCACCCTGCACGAAGTATTAGGACGTGGAAGGTCCATGACCAAAACATCAATGTGTGACGAGGTTGGAGTGAGAATGTGTTTTTGTGTTGACTCCATTTTTAAGCCCTGGAGGCTGCTGCTTGGTTTCAACTTCTTAAATGAACTTAGCATCATTAATCAACCGATGGTGTCTGGACATGGCTATTAAACTGATCAACCATATTTACTCCTTACTGGCCATGATTTTTTGGAGTGATGATCCTGACCCCTGTGGTGGGTTACGGCCTACTCATAAAATGACTTCACAGATAACCTGAGCTCACTACAAACTAAGCTGAAGAGTTGGCAGCCCTGTTCATTCAGACATCCTCACAGTAAATTTAATACCTTACCAAATCCCAGCCATGAGTCTTAAGACAGGTTTGTCATAGTGGTATATACAGATATTTTAACACCAATTGACTTTTGCTTGTCTATTGCATTACTCTGTGTCATTTTATTAGCTGGAGGCAAAACACGACTCACCACCACAGGGCTGTAAGCAACACAGGACAACCCTATTCATGTTTACAGTGTACATATTTTTTATATTCATTATATTACAATTATTATTGTTACTTGCATTCAGATTTTATATTTAATTGTTTATAGTATTTCCTTTTTATATGTATGCTTCTAATTACTCCATATTTTTTTATATATTTTATATTCTTGTGAAAACCTACTTGGCAATAAAACCGATTCTGATTCCGGTTCTGATAATGTGTTGGAAGCTCATGGCCCGACGAGTGACAATGACAAAGATGTTAATCTTGACAGCATTGCAACTACAACAGCCATTGTATTTGGAAAGAATTTAAACAATGCTGCAGGACTACAGTTGTCTACAATTGTCGGGAAGTATAAAACATTTTTTTGTTTTCGCCATGCCCACTAAAAAGCCCCTGTCACAGCCTAAGCATCTGGCGTGCAGTTGAGGAACAGACCGTCGGGGCTGCTGCAGGTAAATACTGATGGGCATTTTTTTTCGTCTGTAGATACAAGTTAAACAACGGGTATTTCAGATGGTGTTAAATGAAAAATCTATAGATGCTTTATTGTGTTTCAGTAATAGGAAATATGTCTTTGAGTTTTTCATGTTTCTTCATATAACCTCTGTTGTATGATTTAAGTTTGGTCCAAGACGCACTGCAAGGATGAAAGGCTACATTTTCCTTGTTGTGAACTTGGCAGTTTCAGCAGCATTCTCCCCAAACCCAGTAAGAGTGACTTTACTGTTTTGCTTTCTGTCAAATTATGACGTATTTTATCCCACACATTTTCTTAGGTGTTTTAATTACCTAAAATTGAATGAATGGATAACAAAGTATTTATTTTGGTGGACAATTGGACTTTAAGACACATTTGAAAAACCTCAGAATCATGAGCTATGAGGCAGTCTAACTTCAAATTGAGTACATTTTCCTTTTAGACCAGCGTAAATTATGACGTATTTAATGCTACAAATTTCACATTTTCTTAAGTAGTTTTTATTACCTTAAATTTAATGAATGAATAACAAAGTATTTATTTTGATGGAAAATTGGACTTTACGACACATTTGAAAAACTTCAGAATCATGAGCTTTGAGGCCGCCTGACTTCAAATTGGGTACATTTTCATTTTAGACCAGCGTAGCACAGAAATGCAATCATGCAATCATGTGAAGAGGTTGTTGTCCACTAATCAGAAGATCAGCAGTTTGATCCCCAGTTCCTCCAGTCCGCATGTCGAAGTATCCTTGAGCAAGATACTGAACCCCAGTTTGCTCCCGATGGCTTTTCCATTGGTGTGTGAGTGTGTTGGCACTCACAGGTGGCAAGTGGCACCTTGTATGGCAGCCTCGGCCACCGGTGTGTGAATGTGATTCGTAGTATAAAAAGCACTTTGGGAGGTCATATGACAACAAAGGCACTATACAAGTGCCGTCCATTTACCATGCCATTCATCATATTTCATGTTGTATATCTGAGAATTACATTGCTATATGGTGATGCAATAAATCTGTTTGTTTGTTTTTTTTTCAGAATGGAGCAATCATAAAGAGTAAGTTGCATTATTTAACATTAATTTTGTTTCATAAAATTAATTCAACTCAATTATTGGTATTTAATCAATGTATCATTATAAGGCAGCATCTCATCTGTTTGTTTTTTTTGTAGATATTGGTGAAGATAAGGACATTATAACAGCAAACAAGGGTGAGGACAACAATCTTTGTATCATTAAATAGTTCATGTGGTGATAGTGTTTTGTGTTTTGTTTGGCCGAGCAGCTTTGTTGTGGCTTCATAGTGTTGTGAACTATTAGTTATTAATGTTTTTGCTCAAAAAAACACAGATGGTTCATTGGAAGATGATATCCTGGAGGTGAGTTTAGCATATCTTATCTTACTATATAATGATGAAAACTCTGTCTGTGTGTGTCTCTGTGTGTCTGTTCCACGTTTTTCTCCTCACTGACTTGGTCAATCCATGTGAAATTTGGCACAGTGGTAGAGGGTCATGGGAGGATGCGAATGAAGCAATATTACATCAATTGGCCAAAGGGGGGCGCTATAGCAACCAATTGAAATCACAAACTTTGAATGGGCATTTCTCATGCCCCGTATGTCGTAGAGACATGAAACTTTGCACAGAGATGCCTCTCCTCATGAGGAACAAATTTGCCTCAATAACTTCCGGTTATATAGATTTTCTGCCATTTTGAATTTTTTGAAAAACACTTAAAATCGATCTCTTCCTAGGAAGTTTGACCGATCTGTATGAAACTCGGTGAACATAATCTAGGGACCAATATCTAAAGTTCCCTCTTGGCAAAAGTTGGAAAACTTACTAAAACTGAGCTTCTATAAGGCAATGAATATTGCGGAGGGCGTGGCTCATCACATAAAGGTGTATAACATCTCAAGGGTTTCACCGATCACCACGCAACTTTGTAGGCATATGACCACACATAATCTGAGGGGACCCCTCCATTATTGACCCCATCAAACAAAATGGGGGCGCTAGAGAGCTAATTTCTTATCTAGGCCTAACCGCCATATCGATTTTTACTAAACTTGGTAGATATGTAGAACAGGACGCCTCAAGGTGACTGGAGAAATTTAACTCTAATTGGCAACTGGGTGGCGCTATAACAACAGAAAAATGCTTAAAAATGGCTAAAATGCGACCGATCACTGTGGCTCCCCCTGTGGCCCAATGTTTTGGGGTTTTTTCTAAGTTTTGCTATGACTAAGTCATGGTATGGTATGCTGTACATAATCACTGAAACTGTCAGTCAGTCATTCTGTCAGTCAGTCATTCTGTCTGTCCCACGTTTTTCTACTCACTGACGTGGTCAATCTATGTGAAACTGTACATAGGCATTGAGGATTGGCATAGGTAGAAGGTGACAAAGCTACCAATGGGTATGGGTTAGTTTGTAGTGAATTACTAAAATGATAAACATGTATCTGTGATTATGTGTGTCACCCAACACATTTCTTATAAATCTTCTTAGAAACCAAGGATACAAAGGAGTTCCATTACTGATGTGGACAGCCTGTGGGATTCCCCAGTCGCATATGTTTTGGACAATGGCCTTGGTAAATATATTTTTTTCTGCTTTATAACAAATAATGTCTGTCTAAATTTAAGGAGGAGCACGTCTTTGGGACATGTTACGTAACTAGTGAAATTTGTGACATCAATTGTACACCAGTCAGTATAGTTGAATAGGCATCAATCAGCTGGAGGCTTTTACCAGTGAGGAGCCACATAACAATGCCCCTCAGTGGAGAAAGAAACCAGCAGCTCATTGATTTAAACAAAGAGACGTGGCTTACTGTCATGTCAACATCATTTCACACCATCCTGTTGTGCAACACAACCACCCCACCCCTCCACCTGAGCATACACAGAGGAATTTTGTGAGAGTAGAGTCTCAGAATAATGCACACACGCAGGATTATCAGTTGCATTACATTTACATTGTCATTTCTTTGTTCTTTCCTGTAACATAATGTTCATGAACAACGGAAGAGCTGAATGCCAAAGGAGTCACCCTGAGAGCCTTCAACCAGTTCAGGTTAAAGTCATGCATTGACTTCAAACCAAGGGACTCTGAGGCCTATTACATTTCTGTCCAAAAGTTAGACGGGTATGTTTGGTTTTCTTACTTTGCATGTTTTCCAATGACAGTTGTTTGCTACTTTTGCCTACAAGTAACTCAACAAGTTCTCATGCATAGATGTTTAACTTGCTCTACATTTGCTTTGATAAATAAAGACCCTGGTCAGATCAGTTACATGAAGGTTTAAAGGTAATGAGCTGTTACTGATGAGTGCCTTTTCCATTGTAGGTGTTTTTCATATATTGGCCGAGTACTACCCAACGGACAGGTCCTTTCCATCGGGAGGTACTGTGATGAAATTTCCACCGTTGAACATGAGTTCCTCCACGCTTTTGGCTTCTACCATGAACAGTCCAGACATGACAGAGATGAGCATGTGACCATTGTCTACGAGAACATCGAAGAAGGTTTCATTAAGACTTTCATTATAATATTCCTGTTCTTTATATGTGTTACATCAAGGCGTATGAAGCAATACGTTCATTAACCTATAATCAGTTTAGTAATTGTTAAACTATAAGCAGGATTATCAAGAGTATTTACAAATTAATCAGTCAATTAATGTCAAAATTAATACGTTAAACAATTCTGAAGAGGGGTATGCATGTAGCCCTAGTGGTACTTTGGAGTACTGCAGGGGGTATGTGAGATTGTTTTTTTGTTTTGTTTTTTAATATTAGTCATTCATAATTCCTAGAACAATCATATCACCAAAGTGAAAGTGCAACTTAAGGGTGCAATTTAATGGAACTATGATGCTTTCTTAGTGTCACTGCATGATTCCAAAAAAATGGTTTGCCATGAATTTTGTAATGGATTCTGAACATTTTAAATGTATCATTTCAGTGTTTTCAGGTTGTTGTTTACTAACTCTGACTCTCTGCTGAATTGTACCTGCTTATTTTTTTCTACCAAAAATGTTGAGTGGCTGAAAAACTTTTTCAAAGGGGGTACATTATTTTAAGAAAAAGTTTGAGAACCACTGGTTGAATCAGTGATAAGTGAATTATGCTTTAAGCACCTATGTCGCTCTTGAGATTTTTTAATAGGCCTACATTATGCTGTAATTGATGTTTGGCTTTTATATGTGTCACCTAGGTCGTGAGCATAATTTTGATAAAGTCAGCAATGAAACCAGCACCACCCATGGAGTCCCGTATGACTACAATTCAGTGATGCATTATGGCAAAGATGCATTCAGCAATGGCAATGGATCAACAATTATCACCATTGACCCAGAGTTCCAGGATGTTATTGGTCAAAGACTGGAAATGAGTCCCAGTGATGTTCAGGAGCTGAACCTCCTCTACAACTGCAGTAAGTGTTTGGAAGTATTGTTTATTCCTGTGACAAAAAAAGTAATTGACCCTTCACTATGTCCTGCCCCCAGACGCAGACTGGCCAATCATAACATAGCATCAGGCCAGCTCTGACCTGAGTCTGACAACAACACAGCTGTGCTCCATTGAGTCTAATGCAATCGTTTCAGATTTCCTTCATTTTCAGGCTGGTTTTGTGGATTTGGAGTTAAATGTTGTGCCTGGGGCACATCGTGTATTAATGATACTCGTTACCTGGAGAGGTTGGAAAAAGATATACGTTTCTTCCCTGTTCCAAACCAAAATCAAACCCTGAAAAGTGTAGGGTTAGCTAGCTAGCTACTGAAGATATAGCCTACTGAATGTATACACACGCTGCTTTTGCTTTTTAATGATTATAACAGTGAAACAAAGACCGACCCTGCTGTACAGGAACCAGTGAAGGGAAGCAGGGGAACTTTGCTGATATTCAACCACCACCAGTGTGTCATCACAGTGTGTGCAGATGAACATTGTTTGACTTCCCACGGAGATCCCTGCCCATTTGGCGGCAGAGGCCCAGGTGCTGGCAGGAGCACGAGGGCAAAGCCAAACACCGTTCATCTGCACACACTGTGATGCCACACAGCTGGTTCAATATCAGCAAAGTTTCCCTTTATATTCATTGTCTTCTGTGGCGATCAGCAGTGGTGTGGTGGTTCACTTTTACACTGTGATCTGTAGCCTATAGTTCGGCTTTAGCTTCTAACTATCTTTGTCTTTTTAACCTGTTGTTGCTGCTGAGTCAGTTTGACCAATATCCTTCAAACACAGACTGTAGACCCCTCTGTCTACTAATTGGGATAAGTTAAGGTTGATTAATAACTATAAGGTTATACTGTGATGGCTATGGTGCGCAGCAAGCTCAGGGTTTCCTAAAATGTTTTTGTGTAAAAGTCTAAATAAATTAATGACAACCTCAAACCTCAGACTACAGCTATAACGATCATCCACTGATTCATCTGCTACAGACTTTAATAAACTGAGAGGCTTTCACTGTTCAATGAATAGTCGTCATTTCTGTGTTCTTCTTTCACCTCTACAGACTCAACCATTGCATTTATGATGCACTGCAGCTTCTCTGACGGGAACATGTGTCAAATGAATGGCTGTTCACAGAGTGGCAGTGGCTGGGAAATGGTAACACATGCTCCCGGGGGTCCTACATCTGACCACACCAGTCTACCCAGTGGCACTTCTAATCATAGTAAGATTTCAGAATTTTAAAGTTAAAAGTCTGCAGTTGTTTATTGTAAAAAGTTTAATGAAATACAATTTTTTGGGTTTCATGTCTGGTGGTTAAGGTTCTGACCATGAACCACAATATTCCCTGTTTCCATTAAACAGCAACCTCTAGGGATGAAAAATGAAGCCGATGCTCAAGTGCCAAAACCTGCATTTCTGTAATCGGCCCACTTGAGACTGGCTCCAGAAGCGAGTCAATCCCCATAGACCCCCATGTTAAAATGCCCAACTTTACAGCAGAAATAAACATGTTTACAGCCTGGTGCATAAAATGGATTTGGTCTCTACAGCTCATGTCAGCATTTATGATAACTGTTCAGGGGGTGAATTTACACGATATGGACACAAGTATTCGGACACCTGACCATTATACCGACAGGGACTGTAATGATATTGTATTCAAATACATATACTTTAATATGAAGTTGATCCCCCTTTTGCAGCTATAACTGCTTCCACACTTCTTGGAAGGCTTTCTACAAGATTTTGGAGTTTTTCTGTGGAAATTTGTGCCCATTCATTTTGTAGAGCATTTATGAGGTGAGGCACTGATGTTGGATGTGAAGGCCTGGCTAGCAATCTCTGTCCCAGTTCATCCCAAAGGTGCTCGATGGGGTTGAGGTCAGGGCTCTGTCCAGGTCAGTCAAGTTCTTCCAAACTCATCAATAGTCCTTACTTTGACCACTGGGGTACAGTCATGTTGGAATAGAAAAGGGCCTTACCCAAACTGTTGCCACAAAGTTGGAAGCATAGCATTGTCCAAAATGTATTGGTATGCTGAAGCATTAAGATTGCCCTTCACTGGAGATAAGGTGCCTAACCCAAACCCTGAAAAACAGCCCCATACCATTATCCCTCCACCACCAAACTTCACAGTTGGCACAATGCAGTCAGACCCAGATTCACCCATCTGACTACCAAACAGAGAAGTATGATTCGTCACTCCACAGAACATGTTTCCACTGCTCCACAGTCCAGTGTTGGTGTGCTTTACACCACCCCATCCAACATTTGGCATTGGACCTGGTGATGTGAGGCTTGCATGCAGCTGCTCAGCCATGGAAACCCATTCCATGAACTCTTCAGCAATGGAATCAGCAAAGTGTTGGCGACTTTTACGCAACATGCGCCCGAGCAGTCATTGACCCCGCTCTGTGATTTTATGTGGTCTTCCGCTTCGTGGCTGAGTTGCTGTTGTTCTTAAACACTTCCACTTTCTAATAATATCCAGAAGGGGTGAAATTTTACAAACCGTCTTATCGCAAAGGTGGCATCCTATCACAGTACCACACTTGAAGAGCGCAGCAGCCACTGGTTAAACAACATGTCACTAACTCAATGACTCAAAGCAACTAACAAATCACAGAGCGTCAGACTGTCGACTCGTCTGAGTGTCAAACTCTTTTCCTGAGTTCTGAGCTCTTCAGAATGACCCATTTTGTATCACAAATGTTTGCAAATGGAAACTGCATGGCGAGGTGGTTGATTTTATACACCTGTGGCAACGGGTCTGATTGAAACACCTGAATTAAATAATTAACAGGTGTGACCAAATACTTTTGTCCATATAGTGTAACTCACCCATTTACATTGTAGTAATGCTTTCAGTTACACATAATTAAGCACAGGGCTTCTTTATGTGACCGGCTGTCTGCACGAAGTTACCACAGTCTAGAGTCAGATCCACCCCTCGCTGCTCCAAAGCTCCATCCTCTTGTCCAAATTCGTTCACTTCTGGCTCCAAAAAATCAAGATGGTGATGGCCGAAAGGCTGAATTCTAGGCTTCGAAACAGGTCCATAGAAGCTACTTCCATTATTGTATACAGTATATGGTTCCCAACCAGCTGGGGACCTTTTCCATGCAGATCTGCCATAACACTTTCATTCCGGACCACAATTTTCCAGGTCAAGATACAGGTTACTTCATGCATGCTAGCACAGCGGGAGGGATGGAGGGAGACTCAGCCCGGCTGGAGACCCACACGATGAGTCCTAATAGAGATTGTCATGTCCAGTGTCTCCAGTTCTACTACTACCATAGCGGAAACCAGTCAGACCAGCTGAACATCTGGATCAGAGAGTTTCAAGATGAATGGGACCCCATGGGAACCCTCCATCTCATGGGACAGATCACTGGTAATGTAAAGCTGTATGATTGTCTGCTATCATCTGCTCTTAAAAGTATTTAAGACTGAAGCTTTACCTCATATATCACCCATTAGTATTCAAGTGATGTAATACAGTCATCACAAAACTCTCCCTCCAGGTCAACCAACATCTCACTGGCAGCTCCAGCATGTTTCCCTGAATGCCACCAAGCACTTCCGGGTGGAATTTGAGGTTCGTAGAGGAGCAGGAACATCATCAGGCGGCTTCTCAATTGATGACATCAATCTGTCCGAACTTGAATGTCCAGACGTAACCATGCAGATTGATGATTTTGACAACCTTTTGACCACGAGTGCATATGCAACCATTCTAAACAGCCCTCGGCACTACTCCAGTGGGGGCTATGCTTACTCATTTGGGGTTGGGCTGTATGGGACATATTTTGGACTGTTTGTGCAACTGACGTCTGGTGAAAATGATGACCAGCTGGAGTGGCCTTGCATAAACAGGCAGGTGACCTTCCAAATGCTGGATCAGAACCCCAACATCCAGCTGCAGATGTCCAAACAAGCAAGTTTCACCACTGACCTAGGCACATCCAATGATGGTAAGTTTAAAGAGCACGAAGAAATGGTTAAAAAATCATTAACTCTTGAATGAAAAGTCAGTAACAGCATTTCCTCACCGGTTATCTTGAATGTTCTGTATGCTTTCTGTAAACAGGTACCTATTTATGGGGCAATCCTCGTGAGATTGGAACTTCATATGTAGATGACAATAATGAGACCATCTTTGTTGGACCTCTGCTTGGCAAACGTTATTTTGCTGATTCAGAGGAAATACAAACCAGAAACTTCCTCAAGGGAGGGAGTGTCGTTTTTGTCTTCAGCTTCCAAGGCAAATATTTTATTTTATTCTATTTTTTTTTTTTACTGTTTAACCGTCTAACTGTTTTGCTTGGAATTCTACAACTAACTTTGAAACATTACTGTACACCTAAGTGGACGTTTTGTTGTATATCATTACTGACACTTCCTTCCTATGCTAGATCTTACTCCTCTGGTTAATGGAAGTGTTCTTCCATGTCCTCAAGTGGAACCGGTGATGATGACACATCCGCCTGAAGATCTGGATAACGCCCCATGCTCACCACGGTAGGACATTGTGTTATCAAATTGAGTACACTTTCAGCACTTGTACAACTTCTCATTTTAAAACAAAACTTAATGAAAATTATTTGATTTTAATATGCCTTTCAAATGATGCTATGCATTTTACAGGATTGTACCCACCACTCATCCAGTAACCACCATTCCTCCATCACCCACTACTCATCCAGAAATCACCTCTACTCCATATCCCACCACTCATCCAGAAAACACCACTCATCCACATCCCACCACTCATCCACATCCCACCACTCATCCAGAAATCACCACTCATCCACATCCCACCACTCATCCACATCCCACCACTCATCCAGAACACACCACTCATCCACATCCCACCACTCATCCAGAAATCACCACTCATCCACATCCCACGACTCATCCAGAAATCACCACTCATCCACATCCCACCACTCATCCAGAGATCACCCGTCATCCATCTAGAACAACAGATGACAGGTATTCAGATTTACTCACACATGTTACACTTGCAACTCACTGTTAGTTATAAACATTTACATACATAATTTGATGTTGTTGGGGCTAAACAGGTGTGTATGTTCATATTAAGCAAAAAAAAAAAATAGAAACACTGCAATGCAACAAAGGCTGCAATAAGTAGATATATGATTGCAATACAATGCAGAATAGCAGTAAGATCAGCACACAGCTACTTAGTAACCTGCAGACTACACAAACTATTTTCCTATAAACCACAGCAGCCTTTTTTAGTGAGGTGTCATAGGGCCTTTTCCAAAGTACTATAAGGCATGTGTCAAAAATCCTCTGTCTTTAATTTAATCCATTCCTTTCCTCCTGCTGCAGCATTTTTGGCTCCTCTGTTGCTTTGGTGTGCTCTCCTGTCCTCACCCTCTTGCTGACACTGATGCTTTTAATACCTTGATGTACGTCTCCTCTCGGGCACATCTCACCTCTGCACATGGACAGGACCAGAAGATCTGCCACTGGCTGAGAAATTCAGCAGATTTTACTATTTATTCTTCTTCTCTTGTGGTTTCTGTGGAAATAATAAAAACTTGAACTAATAAAAGGAAAGAAGGAATGGGTAAAGAACTCATTGTAGATGCTGTGTATTGGCGGTAATGAAATATCTGTTCTACAGTGGTGTTTGGTGTTTGGACCATATTCATATTTGGATTTTCTTTTTTGGGCTAATGTTGAAACTGTACTTTGATTTCTTACAATATAGCAGACCATCAAAGAAATGGAAAAAAAACTTGATTTTAACTGGTTAATAAAAAGAAAAGGTTACTTTGAGCCCTTTTATTTTTTCATGAAAAAATACATACATACTCTAGGTTTATGATAGGAGGTGAAATTCTGTAGCTCTTTCTGTACTGTGATTCTGATTCAACAAGCATATTTAAGAATAAAAGAAAATGCATGCAACATGTTTTGTGTTGTTTGATTTGTTTTAATGATATACTATCCTATGATTTCTAACACGTTTTAGGACATACTACACAATGACATTTTGTGACATTGTTGATGACATAGACGTGACGTTTTTATCACATTTTGATTAACATAAAAGACTGACATATTTATCACATTTTTGGGGACATACTATATTATGACGTTTTTGTGAAATTTTTGACAACACTATACGAAGAAATTTTTGTCACATTTTTGACGACATACTATACTATGACATTTTTCGGAAATTTTTGACGACATACTATACTATGACGTTTTTGTCACATTTTTTACGACATACTATACTATGACTTTTTTATCCAATGTTGACGACATACTACACTATGACGTTTTTATCCCGTTTTTGACAACATACTATACGATGACGTTTTTATCCAACGTTGACGACATACTATACTATGACGTTTTTATCCCATTTTTGACAACATACTATACGATGACGTTTTTATCCCAATTTTGACAACATACTGTACTATGACGTTTTTAACCCAATTTTGACAACATACTGTACTATGACGTTTTTATCCAATTTTGACGACATACTATACTATGGCATTTTTATCATTTTATTTGACGACATACTATACGATGACATTTTCGTCACAGTTTTGACAACATACTGTACTATGACGTTTTTATCCTATTTTTGACGAAATACTAGTCTATGATATTTTTATGACATTTTTGACGACATACTATACTATGAAATTTTTATGCTATTTTTGACAAAATAATATACTATGACATTTTGGTCACATTTTTGATGACATACTATACTATGATGTTTTATCCTTTTTTTTGACGACATACTATACTATGACATTTTTGGCACATTGTTGCCAACATACTATACTATGACGTTTTTATCACATTTTTTGAAGACATACTATACTGTGACATTTTTATCCTGTTTTTGACAACATACTATACTATTACATTTTTGTCAAATTTTTGACGACATACTATACTATGGTGTTGTTGTCGCATTTTTGATGACATACTATACTATGACATTTTGGTGACATTTTTGATGACATACTACACTATGACGTTTTTATCCTATTTTTGACAACATACTATACTATGATGTTTTTGTGAAATTTTTGACAACATGCTATACTATGGCATTTTTATCATTTTATGTGACGACATACTATACTATGACATTTTCATCCTATTTTTGACGAAATACTATACTATGACGTTTTTATCCTATTTTTGACGACATACTATACTATGACGTTTTAATCCTAATTTTGACAACATAGTATACTATGACGTTTTATCCTGTTTTTGACGACATACTATACGATGACATTTTTGTTACAGTTTTGACAACATACTATACTATGACGTTTTTATCCTATTTTTGACAACATACTATACTATGACGTTTTTATCCTATTTTTGACGACATACTATACTGTGACGTTTTTGTGAATTTTTTGACGACATACTATACTGTGACGTTTTTGTCACAGTTTTGACAACATACTATACTATGACGTTTTTATCCGATTTTTGATGACATACTATACTATGACGTTTTTATCCTATTTTTGACGACATACTATACTATGACATTTCTATCATTTTATTTGATGACATACTGTACGATGACGTTTTTGTCACAGTTTTGACAACATACTATACTAGGGCGTTTTTATCCCATTTTTGACAACATAATATACTATGACATTTTTATCCTATTTTTGACGACATACCATACTATGACGTTTTTATCCCAATTTTGACAACATACTATACTATGACGTTTTTGTCACATTTTTGACGACATACTATACTATAACGTTTTTATCCAATTTTGACAACATACTATTCTATGGCGTTTTTATTCCAATTTTGACAACGTACTATACTATGACGTTTTTATCATGTTTTTGACGACATACTATACTATGACGTTTTTGTCCCACTTTGACGACATACTATACTATGACATTTTTGTCCTATTTTTGACGACATACTATACTATGACGTTTTTATCCTGTTTTTGACGTCATACTATACTATGACATTTTTGTCGACATACTATACTATGACGTTTGAATCTCAACATTGACAACATACTATACTATGACGTTTTTATCCTAATTTTGACAACATACTATACTATGACGTTTTTATCTTGTTTTTGACGACAGACTATACTATGACGTTTTTGTCACATTTTTGATGACATACTATACTATGATGTTTTATCCTTTTTTTTTGACAACATACTATACTGTGACATTTTTGGCACATTTCTGCCGACATACTATACTATGACATTTTTATGACATTTTTGACAACATACTATACTATGACGTTTTTATTCTATTTTTGACGACATACTATACTATGACGTTTTTATCCTATTTTTGACAACATACTATACTATGACGTTTTTATGACATTTTTGACAACATACTATACTATGGCGTTTTTATGACATTTTTGACAACATACTATACTATGGCGTTTTTATCATTGTATTTGACGACATACTATACGATGACATTTTTTTTCCCAATTTTGACAACATACTATACTATGACGTTTTTATCCAATTTTGATGACATACTATACTATGACAGTTTTATCCTGTTTTTGACGACATACTGTACTATGACGTTTTTATCCTATTTTTGACGACATACTATACTATGACGTTTTTATCCTATTTTTGACGACATACTATACTATGACGTTTTTATGACATTTTTGACAACATACTATACTATGGCGTTTTTATGACATTTTTGACAACATACTATACTATGGCGTTTTTATCATTGTATTTGACGACATACTATACGATGACATTTTTTTTCCCAATTTTGACAACATACTATACTATGACGTTTTTATCCAATTTTGATGACATACTATACTATGACAGTTTTATCCTGTTTTTGACGACATACTGTACTATGACGTTTTTATCCTATTTTTGACGACATACTATACTATGACGTTTTTATCCTATTTTTGACGACATACTATACTATGACGTTTTTATGACATTTTTGACAACATACTATACTATGGCGTTTTTATGACATTTTTGACAACATACTATACTATGGCGTTTTTATCATTGTATTTGACGACATACTATACGATGACATTTTTTTTCCCAATTTTGACAACATACTATACTATGACGTTTTTATCCAATTTTGATGACATACTATACTATGACAGTTTTATCCTGTTTTTGACGACATACTATACTATGACGTTTTTATCCTATTTTTGACGAAATAATATACTATGACATTTTGGTGACATTTTTGATGACATACTATACTATGACGTTTTTATCATTTTATTTGACGACATACTATACGATGACATTTTTGTCACAGTTTTGACAACATACTGTACTATGCCGTTTTTATCCTATTTTTGACGACATACTATACTATGACAGTTTTATCCTGTTTTTGACGACATACTATACTATGACATTTTGGTGACATTTTTGATTACACACATTACGTTTTAGTGATATTTTTGACCACACTATATTGACGTTTTTAATCACATTTTTGACGACATACTATACTACGACGTTTTAAATCAAATTTTTGACAACATACTATAGTACGACTCTTTTTTTAACATTTTTGACGACATACAATACTATGACGTTTTTCTCACATTTTTTATGATATACTATACTATGATGTTTTGATGACATTTCTGATGACATACTATATTTTTTATCACATTTTCGAAGAAATACTATACTATGATATTTTCATGACATCATTGACGACCCACCATACTATGACATTTTGGTGCCATTTTGGATGCCATACTTTACTATGACATTTTTAATCACATTTTTGACAACATACTATACTATCACATTTTGGTGAAATTTTTAATGACATGCTATACTATGTTTTTAATAAGATTTTTAACGACATACTATACTATGACGTTTTTATAACATTCTTTGATGCCATACTTTACTATGACATTTTTAATCATATTTTTGACAACATACTGTACTATGACGTTTTTGGTAACATTTTTTGACTACATACTATACTATGATGTTTTTATAACATTTTTTGATGCCATATTTTACTATGACATTTTTAATCATATTTTTGACAACATACTGTACTATGACATTTTTGGTAACATTTTTTGAGGACATACTATACTATGACGTTCATCACATTTTTTGACAACATAATGTATTATGACGTTTCATACAAAATGTTTATGCCATATTATACAATGACCTTTTTATACAAGATTGTTATGGCCTACTATATTATAACTTCTTTCATTACATTTCTTATGACATATTATAGTACAATCTTTTTAATCAGTAATTTTATGACATACTATACAAAGACATTTTATATTACTTGTTTTATATTAACTTTTTTCATTAGTTTCCTTATGACATAATATACCATGACGTTTAATATAACATTTCTTTCTGACCTACTATACTATGACTTTTGATGGCACGATATACTATCTTCAATATAAATCACAACCCACTTTTACAAAAATCACATTTATTTTAATCATCATACATGTTCACCATATATTAGGTCTACCCACTTACTTTGATTTCACATCACATGGTCTCATGCATCACTGATGCCCTCTGATATACATCTCTCTAGCCTCTGGGTATATCCAATACACCATAAAGGAAAGACATTGTGCTACAGAATGTAGGCATGGCTTGGCCAGTCCTGGCTCCTTGGTAGTTGTCTTTGTCTCTCTGTCTGCCCCAGAAATCACAGTTGTAAGAGAGTCTCTGAATCCAATTTCTAAAACTTAGTCCAGGTTCCTGTGTGTCTCTGTGCCGGTCCAAGCTGTGGCCTGCGAGCTGGCTCCAGGCAGCCCCTCGCACCTCTAGCCAATGGTGACACCGAAGCCACACTGGAACTTGTTCTTACGGTGGTTGAGGA